ACAATACGAACCAAATCTATGGATATACGACCACCATGGGAAACAACAGTGAAAATAAAAGCCCTTTCATTGAATAATGAGCAGGAAATTGGTCAAATAGCGGACAAGTGCGGATGTTAAACAAGCTGGATGAGTAGGTAAAAGAGGAAACTGCATTTTTACAGAGCCACCGTAAATAAAATAGCATAAATACCACCTGTGAAAAAATATTACTACTTTTGCCATTTCTCCACCCATTCACCTGTTTTCGCAGTTCTCTGTGGTCTTGGTCAAATTTTTGCACGAGCTGTTGGAGTTGCTCACTATTGGCACTTCGCTCCTTATAGAGATCTGCAAGTTTGGAGTTTAGGGTGAGAATTCGACTAGCATGCTCCTCGCGAAGCGCCTGCAGACGGGTGTGTGCCTCACGAATCTGAAGAGATCAAATACTAGCTGAGTTTTATTTGCATTGGTCACATCTTCAAACTTCTAAACAGTGTAACAAAGCAATTGTTGTTATCTATCTCTATAGCAATTGTGAATTTCCACGCCTTAACGCGGGAAAGTCGTCTCTACAAATTCAGAAATGCGGAATTTACTGGTACCACGGAATACTGTACTTCTAGAGTTTGGAGAACACATCCCGTTTGACCATATACTTTCATATTTTTGTGAAAGCTCGCCAACATCAGTTCAGTATCCATAGTGTCTTAACCCCTTCTCTTGTTGATCGATGCGAAGGAATGAAGGGTTGCTGCTTATCGCATGATAACTAATATCGGCAATCAAACAGGCACGGGGATGAGCAAGCGCGAAGCGGTTGCTTGACCTCGGCGATTCAATACGTATGAAAGTGGACATGCGCACTGTCAACCTGGAAACGTACGAACCAGTTATAAAAACTTTCCTCGCTTGCAATACTGAACCCCTCATCATCGTGTTTTGTACAAAGCCAGCTTTTTGGATCCGACCATCATGATGCCATATCTCTGATCTCCTTCTCCTCTCTGCCACCGAAAATGGAAGTGTAACTTACATTTTTGGATTTTGTGTTCATCTCAGCCAAAAGTGACTGATAAGTTCCGTAAAGAGTGTTGTAGCGCATTATTAAGCCAAGGAGAACATTGTCTGCTATTTTTATGTAATCTAAACCAAGATAACAAATTGGATCCAGTTGGGTGGTTTTAAAAGGCCGACTTATCATCTACTTTTCATTTAATTCGAGTGGAAAAATCGAATGGAGAAATGGCAGACCATCACTTCATTAGGCGTTTTGAATTAATGAGGATGGATCGAACCCGTTGGATATCAAAGTAAGGATAACTAAAGTTTCCGAATCAGATTTGAAAATTGCTAATGAATTCCATAGAGGGTGAATGATGAAAACATTTAACATTTGAGATGCTTATGCTAAGAATGTATGTTTAGTAATAACGGAAGAACCAAAACGACTCTGGTGCACAGATAAACTGCCAAGTCATACATAATTTTAAGGTATAAATAACTAAAATCAAAACAATGATTTCAGATTATTAATAATATTGCATAAGGCCTACACATTATAAGTAAAAAATAAGAGAGCATAACCATAGGCACCTAATGAGCAAGCATACCCGGTGGAAGGAGATCGATTACGTCCATTAAATAGGACTCGTACTTCTTGTATTCCTCCACTTTCCGTCTCATCGCCTCGCACCTAGTAATAAGAGCAATCCAAGTTATTAGGTTCTACAGCAGATTGAAGTAAGAAAGCAAAAGCGTCAGAAATACCGCTGTCTTACGCGATTTTGGCTTTTCCAAATTCCACTCTTAATTCAATACCTTCTTTGGTCTTTTCCTCGATGATTTGTCGCTCAGTCAGGTATTTTTTTACGGCTCTAAGGCGTTTCGCCTCATTATCCCGAATGAAACCCTCAAAGCGTTTCATCTGAAAGCGCAAGTCCTCCTGTCTCATCGCGAGATCTTCTCTTCTTTTTCTGCTTTCAGCAATCTGACTCTAATTACAGTGAAACAGCGATTACATTTGTCCCAGCATTAAATATTAATGGCGGCTTCCAATAAAGACATCATAAGGAAACTTAAAAAAGCAATTTATGGTACCTTAAGAAAGGTCGAAGAGTACTTGTTAAATAAAGGAAAATATGCTGTATTCCAATATAGGGAAGTTTGATCAATTAGGTTTCTAGTGATAATGAGCTTTTGGGTAACGATGATTCTTCATTTAGACAAGGTTGGAGTTAAATAAGTAACGCTCGATTCTTGCGAGCACAAAAGAAACAAAAATATAACTTCATGTGACAACTTGATAGGATAGGTAAGAGAATAAAAGGAAACATCATACGCGGAATTTTTTCCTCATTTCCAAGAGTCGGATTTCCGAGTTAGTGAGACTTGTTGCAGTATTATCTGGCGACGTTCCATAACCAGTTTTCAGAAGCTTGGAATCGTAGGCAAATGTTCCAGTAAATTTTGTCGACTGAAGGTCGTCGTTGTTACTCAAAACCCTTTTCATCACCACTGCCTAAAAATAATAGGTTTTAAAGGTGCGCACATAGACTTTGCACACAAAAATCACTAAGTACCATAAAAATTGATTTTAACTGAATGAAAAGAAAGTACTC